CCCCAAAACCCCAAAACCCCAAAACCCCAAAACCCCATATGTGCATTTTGGTTGAGATGACTTCAAGAGGTATAATAATAAATCTTCGAATTGGAGCAATGATCCTATTCTCTTCAGACTCGTCATCGTCCTTCTTCTTACTCTTCTTTGATTCCAACATAAGCTGGATGTTAACAGAATGTTTAGTTATTTTTACTCTAATTTCTTTAAATACTATGAAAGATATTTGGTAGCCAAGTAAGGATGATCGAACTAATAGATAGCATATTTAAATATAATGACTCCTTCAAAGCAGTTCTATATAACCTCGTCAGTCTCACTAAGCGACTCTAATCTTTAGCCCTGAGTTTATTAAAATCTTCCTATTTTTGATTATTCCTTGAATATTGACAACGAATTATAATATTGCTTTCAGTTTATTTTGCAAATCCATTGTCTCCAAAGGGATTTAGAGAAGCAAAATTTTTATTTGGATCAGATGTAAGCTGGGATTCGAAGGCTCCTGGTTCTGAAAAGGGGTCTGATGAGAAGTTACTCGTAAAATTTGAGTTCCAAGTGGATTGGGAAGTTCCGAAAGAGGTGGGAGGAGCAGTAGTAGGGAATGAATTGTTGTATGCTGGTTGAGGTTTGGCAGGCTGAGGTGCAGATGGAGTGGTGAAGGCATCAAATGGGTTAGATGAGCTCGTTGGTGGTGCAGGTTGATTGAAATCACTTCCGAAGATATCTCTCTCTGATTGTTTTGGTTGAGGATCCTATAGAGTATGTATATTTTGCATTTTATCTCTTCAAAAATTAAGAAATTACCTGGTCAAAAATTACATCTTCAAGTCCACTTGTCGCAGAAGATTTTGGTTGATTCATATCTGCAAATGGATCTGTTGAAGAAGCTGGCTTGCTCAACTCTTGCCCAAAAGAATCAAAATCAAATGCATCTGACTTTTTATTTTGATTTGATGAAGAAGATGTCTCAAAATCGAAATCAAAATCATCATTTTTCGAGCTTTGCTTTTTCTAAAGAATATTACTAATACCCAAAAAAACTGCATACATGATCTTCTTGGTCCCAATTGAAATCAGCTTCATCCCCAAATCCCTCACTCTTCTTTTCCTTGACAGTAGATGATTTCTGTCTTTTTCCTATATCTCTAAGGCTTTTCTTCTCTTTATGAGTATCTTCTGTTGATTTTCTATCTTCTGAGCTTAATCTATAAGGTTGCATCAGAATGATGTTCTCCAACAGAATTTCTCTCACATAATTTTGGAGATGTAGCAATTTTTCTTTCTAGAGCAGGAAATGCTGACTAAATTAAATGTAACCACCCTCTGCGTGAAGTCCAGAGAATAGGTATCATTATCTATTTGGAGAGACGAATTAGTCATATCGGCAGCTAGTATTTAATACTTTCATAAAATTTTACTATATCTAGGAATTGATAAAAATGAGTTTCTCGAAAACTATCTAAAATAAGTGTCTCCAACTATGTCAACTTTAAAAGGTTTACTAAATGACCCCACTTTTTATCATGCGCATATGGATCTGGAATATCATCATATTTGACTGAATCCTTGGCTCTTTGAATATCCGACCACCCATCTGTAATCTTCTTCTTGCTGTTATACGTAGTACTTGCTTTTGGTCTTCCTCCATTAGGTCTGCTGTGACCTGATGGCATCCGAGTGTCCTTAAAACCTCTTGATTGGTAAAGATCTTCAAAGGCAACATTGTTAATCCTCAATTTTGCTCCTTTCAAGCCATAACTTAAATTAAGCATGTGTTTGCCTATGTTGAAAGGGAATTGGAAGCTCTTGGCAAGTTTTTGTTGTTCTAAGACGACTTCTCCATCCTGAATTACCTTATTTCTTTCCAGTCAATTTTGACACAAGGAACTCTATCTGGTGTTGTAGTCCATCTAACTCAAATTTGAAGATGAATTGGGTTTTAGTCTTCTTAATCTTCTCTCCTATATGCTTTTGTTCATGATAGATTGCTCTGACAGACATGCTTCTTTTAAATTTATTATTAATTAATTCGGAAGGTACTTCTATTACGTAATTAAGAGAAGGGGTTTTGGGGTTTTGGGGTTTTGGGGTTTTGGGG